GGATTTGTATCTTTTATGAGAAGCTTCGGTCAGAAACCTATTTTCTCTCCAGAGCATCCGATGTTAGAGTTCTCGATTAGCTTTGAAAGTGGAAGAGACTATTGTCTGGCAGAAAGCAGGTCCAAAAGTCTTCACAGAAAGCGAAAAAGAATTTTTTTACTAGAAAATCATCAAATTTTGGAGAGGAAAGCACCTCCATCCCTTCCCTTAATCGGAAAGCCTGTCCGATATTGATACGATTTTCATGGAATGTGTGTATATTATCCTCGAAAGTTGATACTAAAGGCTTGAATATCGCGTTTTTCCAGAGATATCTTAAAAATACGGGTGAAAAGTAGGTGTTCGTACGACAAAGATTCTTTTGCCATTTGAGGTGGTAAAAAGCTCAGGGTTGCCTCTAAATGTAGCGAAGATTTGATGCTCTTACAGAGTTGGATTTTTCAGATTTTTTTTTGTTCAGTTTTCTCAAAGCCCTTATTCAAACAGTGGGAAAAACGTCCAGTAAACGTGATTTTTCTCAAGAACAAAGTTGAAAAGCAAGAATCTAACTCTCATAGGTTGTAGCACCAAGTCTTGGCTATGTTTTGAGACCACTCTGAACTTTTTAGCACTTCAAACGGCGAAGAAACCTTTGCCGCTTGAACAGTTAAAACTCAAAAAAAAACGATTTCGAGAAAAACGTCGTACATTTGCCAGTACATTTTGGGACTTGCAGGAAAATGCCTGTAACTTTTTACCAGAGGATCACACAGCGTTATGCTACATCTCATTGTGTTCGACAAATCCACGCTTCTAGAAAATAGTCTAACTGCATAAATATTGTGCAAAAAAACACGAATTCAATTATTTTTAAATAGGTTTTTCTATGTTTCCGAAAAATTTGCTCTAGAACTATGAAAATTTATATTTGAGATTGAAAATCATGTATAAATCTCAAAATATCGATTTTGAGATGACAATGAACTTTTTTTGACAGGAAAGGATATGCTTAAAGAATAATTGAAATGTCACTTTTTGCTACTTTTGGTGTTATATTTATTTTAGAATTACAAGCACGCAAAGAAAATTTTAATAACACTATGCCAGATATGGAAATTGATATTCATTCAAATCCATTTGGTGATCAAGATACTGAAAATAATTTCGATAAAATATCGGTACATCAAATATAATTAAATCAATCCATAATATTTATATAAAGTTTTTCCTTTTTTTTTTATTCTATAGTTAACTTCTGAAGATCAATTACAATTAACAACTCACAATGTACAATTTCTAGAAAAACGTGATAAAGAAATAAAAGAAGTATTAAAATCCATTGAAGATATTAATGAAATTTTTCGAGATGTGGCATCTATTGTATCTAGTCAGGTATATGTCATTACTCATGCAATAGAACAATTATAATAAAATAAAATTTATTATTTTATATTTCTTTAGGGTACAATACTCGATCAAATTGATTATAATATTGAAAATACTGTTATTCATGTTGAACAAGGTAAACAACATTTACAAAAAGCTGTTGAACATAAAAAACGTGGATTAAAATTTAAATTAATTTTAATCGGTATTGGAATATCAGTATTATTAATTATTATTTTTGTAACTATTATTAGTAGATAAAACAGAGAATTACCTTAGTGAAGTTTACATTCCACGGATTATTTAAATTTTTTTTCTTTTTTTGTAATTTATTTATTTTAAAAAGTCATAATCAAATTTTGTTAAATATTAATATTATAGAATTAAAAGGTGTAGGTCAATCGATTATGGTAATAGTTTCTTTCTCTGAGCATCGTTTTTTTTTTGTGTTTTTTTCACTCTGAGAAGATCTAAATTACTGGTAGAGAAAATAATTGAAATAACCCATGATTACACGGTTCTATTCTACGGATCTCTCTATAATGGATAATCCTGTAATCTCATGTCATTCATTTATTCTTTGCCATTACACCTATTTTATTATCTCGAATGTTTTATCTTATTTTGTTTTCTTTCTACTGTATGATATTCATTCTTGTTGAAAATCTTTATTTTTGTAAAAAATGTGTATAAAAATTATATTTATTTATTTGTTTTTCTGTGTCATTCTGTTATTTTGTATGTGATGGAATAATTTATTATTGTTAATTAACTATGGACAATATCTTTTTAATTTCTTTTCTTTTATTTGAAATTGAATAATAAAAGATTGTTAATGATGATGATCTTTGGTGTATTCTTAATGTTCTCATTTATTTGTAGATATAAAATGACTACTCAACAATCTTTTGTTACAAATAACGGTAACGATACACCAATTTACAATATATCTAAATGTAATTTGTTTAATAATAAAACATTAAACATTATTATCTATAGTCTCTTTGTTACCAAAAACAAAAAAAAATCAATGAATTTAAACAATTATCAATTGAAAATTGATTTGATTAAAATATTACTATTTTATTCATCACGTTTTTGAGACAAAAAAGTATAACTTAAACAATAAAACACTTGATTGATATGCATGATCATTGTCAGAGACGAAAAGAAGAAGAGAATGATCGTTCTTCTTCATATGAATATACGCATTGTAGATACAAGACGGAGACATTGGAGAAAAGATAAACTGTTATAGTTAATATCTTTCTCCTCTACAATACGTATGTTTATCGCAAGAAGAACGGTGTTACTCTGTTCTTATTTTCTATTCTTTTCTCTAATATATATATTAATCAAATTTTTTTGTTCAAATTACACTTTTACATCTCAAATGAAAGAGTTTAACAGCTTAATCTTCATTTCGCAATGATCTTCCTGACAAACTATTAAATGAATGCTAAATATTGATTTATTTATGTGTGACGAGAAATTATACGCAACATCTGATAATTATCAAAACAAATGATAACAAATTGAAATCATTAGTCGTGATATTAAATGCCGTTGTTCATAGAATATTTATCTAATATCGTTTATTTGTCAAGTATTATATACTTTAGTACCGCATTCTTTCGACTAAAAGTCTCACATAATCACGCTTTTATTCAGAATGTTTTAAGAGAAAAGGGAAAAAAAATTACTTTTTTTCGATTTTATTCGATAAAACCTTAAAAGAAAACGTGTTTGTGGGAGGCTCAATCTGTAGAGAAACGTTTTGCTAAGATCCCAATTTAAGTTAGTATCGTATTTTGTATTGAAATATTTACGAAATATGTGCATATTATATAGTCTATCGTCTCATTACATGATTATAATGAACTTCTGTATCGTCTCTCAGCCTGCCTGGGGTATTTTGAACACCCACAGGGTCCCGCCGTTGTTTTGCAATAGTGGGAGGCACTCCTCGGCTATCGGTAGCCACGTGTCTTGCTCTTGGATTAGCCACCTATTAAGCTTCAAAAAAGTTGGCCCGGTCCAGTTCACTCATCCATGATTTTCCCGGCCAGTGACGATTTCTATTATACACGGCCAAAATACACACATTAGTTTTTTGGCTATGAAGTTGCTTAGATTATTCGTGTTAAACTATTTTTATTTTTTTTGGGATAAAAATCACTCGTAGATGATAGTGGCAATTTTCAGTTCAGAATCAGAGTGTATCGGAACGATAATTGTACCTCTACGTCTGTCTTGTGATTGAAAGTGTAAAGATTAAGTAATCAGTTAGATTGCAGAAATCTCATCCATTTACGAAAGACGTAAAAATAAAAAATTTTGACTACAGATTATACGTGAGAAGTAGAACTTCATTTATATCATTTTCTAGATCGAATTAGATAACAATGGATACAAAATATGTTATTTTTCTTGTTATTTTTTTATTATTTACTCCTTGCTATTGCGATATTACAAATCTTAATGAACTAACAGCCATGTTTTCTTCAAATAAATCATATAAAGTTGGTTTTCTTCAACACGCAAACTATGATGTCGTTAAACAGTATGTGCCAAACAATTTGGTGGCCGTCTTTCTCGACCATCAAGAGGAATTAATTCAATTACTGGATAATGAAACAATTATAGGTTTGTCTCTGCATTTTACTTTAATTTATATTTCTCTGTCTCTCTTTATTTTAGCTGTTTTAACGACAGGACGGTTAGCTGAAGATTTGGAACCAAAATATCATGTATTTACTTCGGCAGTTGTTTCTCCGCAAGCAATGTTATTAGCACCCGATTATGACTCTATATCGTATCCATACGGTTTAAAAGGTGAAGATAATTCCAGTCGTGACTTATTCGATGCATTAAATGCAGCTATTGCTCAAATGCAATTTGGTAGTGATGATGAAACGCTATTAACAACATATAATCGCTCAGATCTATTACGTATTTATACCTGTCGTGTTCGTGACACGTTGATAGAAGAATATCCGGTAGTCGATCGTAAAAATGCTACAGGCTTATTGAAAGATGTATTAACAACAAATAAGTTAATAATTGGCGCAGTAGGACCATATGATTGGGGTAAACATGATGGAAATTATTTAAATAAAACACATTCAATTGGTTTTTATCCAGAATTATTAGATATGATATTAAAACACTTTCAACAGTTGAAGGGTCCAGATGGTGAGTCATATGGAGAGAACAGTACAATTAAAATTGAACGTGTTTTCTATGATAATGCCACAGATTTATTTCGTGTAAGTATCTAAAGTACTACCGATTGTCATCCGTAAAAGGAAATTTTTTATCATGTAGGCATTGCTTGATCATAAAATACACGCCACAGATGTTTATACATTAATAGATGGCTTTTACAATGGAACTGGTGAAAAATGCCAAAACGATAGTCAATGTCGTGCTGCTGTAAAAATTGGTACAGAAAGATGTGATAACACTACATCAATTTGTACACATCCTAAACGTCCAAGAACATTGCATTTTCGAACAACATGTACAACAGCCAGCGCCGATGCAAGATATTTTACGAAGAAAAATAGTCAATTTGGAAATGATAATAAACAACAAAAGCAAACCACAACAACATCGACCATATCGGTCAATAAAAAAACTTCACAGAGTCACTCGTTAGCACTCATATTATTATTTACCGTCTTATTTGGTGCTATTCTCATTACATTGTTATTTATTAAAGGAAAACGAAAAACCATACAACAGCGAACAAATGCGGGAGGAGTAGGAAAATTTCATGTATTGAAAGATGAACAACCAGTTATGGACTCATTTGATGATCATGTTGTACAATCAACAACACCAATTTAATTGAGCACTAGTTCTTGTTTCGTCTTTTTTTAATTATTTGTTGTTCGTTTAGCTTCGCTTACTCGCCAACCATGATGTTAATCAGCTCTTGTAGCGCAATCGGTTAGCGCGTTTGGCTGTTAACCAAAAGGTTGGTGGTTCAAGTCCACCCAGGAGCGTTTTCTGTTTTTAAAAAAAACTTTTTTTTTTATTGTTTGTCTCGTTTTCTTAAAATACGTTGAGTATTATTCATTGAGCTTTTTAAAAATATCATAGTCAGAAAATTTTTTAGAGTTGTAAATTTTTGAGGATTTTAGTTTAAAACAAGTTTTACGCGATCTTATTGTCCACGCTATTGGACTGAAATATATATATATATATATATATAAGTTATTGTCTTAAGAAACTCATTTTAGTACGATAAGTTCTGTCTGAAATATAAGATAAACATTCTTGATAACATTCTACTTCTATTTTGATAAAATTATGTCCGTTTTTCTTGAATTTTTTCCTTTTTGACACTTAGAATCTCTTCTTATTACTCTTTTCTTTTGCTGTTGGTGATCTACATGCGATTTTGCTCTGAAAATATTTTAGTGTGTTTGAGAATGTGTGCGTATAGAGTGCAGACAATTTTTATATCTCGGTGTAAACTCTCACATTATTTTTCATGTTCAGAAAATATTTGTTTTAGTTTTACTGTGATACCTAAAACCAATATTATATAATGTATTTTTATTCTTTAGTTTTTGATCGATTTCTAGTCTGGTGAGATTTTTTTAAATAGTTAAGCATTTGTGGTGTAGTAAGACAGTTCCATTTGTGCATAGAACAGATTCAATAATGAAAGTTGTTTATTCTCACTCTTAACTCAATACTCTCTGTAACTATGAAAATATTTCTCCTTTTTTATATTTTATATCTAATACGGCTTTTTGATTCTTTTAAATAAAATAAGAAACGTTTATTTCTTATCGATCATTTGTAGATGTTTGTACGATTAATTTAGATTTAGCAAAAACGATGATCATTACTGATAATTCTTAGTTGTTTGATACCATGAACTTATATGATTTTTTTTAAAAAGATGCTAATTCTGTTTGATCATATGAAAGTAAAAATAGCAAAAAAAGTAAGCAAAACTCTATTTTAAACTGTGCGAACACAAATATCGAAAGAATATGCAAAACAACTATATCTAATAAATAAACTAATAGTATTTTTTGTTAGTTTTTGTTTACCATATATAAACCCATGCGTACGAAGTAACAGTTGATTCTGTTGGAGAACCCGCTTGATGTCCACCTGATTCAAGTATACATTTAAAACCGTTATCATCCACAACATCACCATTTCTCCAATCAAATCGAAAACCATTTGTGAAAAATATTGGATCTTGATCATGAAAACGATACGCTGACCATTCAACTGTACCGTTTTCTTCTTTATGATGTGTATAACCAGAAACATCAAAATGGAATTGTCCAGCATTGAAATAATAGGCACTATCAAAGTAGTCTTCTGTGCCCGTACTTACAATTATTCCAGGAAACGGTATGCTATAATCGACATAGGCATGATAACATCCTTCTAAAAAGTTTAAATTTCCACTTGTAACAGCTAAAGTATGAAAAAACAGAAGACCATTGCCATTTGCTATGTTAACAATAGGTACAAATTGGATTGGTTGATACTTCACATTTTCAATTTTTTGTAAAATTAATTTAGCTTGTGGTGGTAAAATGAAACCACCTAAATTTGTTGGCAAATTTTCTGTTCCACGAACAATGACGTAAAATATTTTTCGTTCAGGAATAGATGCTGGTAGTTGACCGGTTATGCGAATAGATTTATGAAATGGAATTCGACTAAATGGAACAGAAGATAAAATGTACGATGTAAACTTTCAAAATGGTTACTGTTTCGAAAAACTACTCACAAATTATTGAACCATCCACCAAGTTGCGCTCCTTTTCCTATCCATCTTGTACCCCACGGTGCTTGCTGATCATTGAAACCGACTCCAACTAGCATGTATGTGACAAATTGTATCGATGGACTGTAATGAACATAATATTTTTAAAGTAGAATAACTTCATTTAACGTTTCCTTATGATTAAAAATTATCACCTTGTCTCTCCGTCAATATAATAAGACCATACTGCTTGATCAATAGCTGAAATAAATAGAAAAAAAGACTATGTAAAAAGTTATAGTTATTATCTATCTCAAAATATGATTTACCTGGATCTCCAGTAGTCCAAAAATGTGTCATTACTCCAAACGTTGATGATGGATCAAGAGTATGACTGAAAATTTCTGTCTATAAATCGAGAAGTGCGAAGGTAAGTATGCTGTTAATGAGTGCAAAATCAAAAAAATACCTCCGTTGGATTTAACCATTGACTGGACAATCCTGTTCCAAATGTAATTAATTGTTGTCCGTGACATATTGGTACGATTACACATAAGAACAATATGACTCCAATATTCATCGTATTTTCTTGTTAATATTTTATTTTTATAAAATCAACGATCATCTATTAAAAACTAGAGTGATGAGACCGGTCTGATTTGTGAACATCTGCAATTTACATAATATCTAGATGTTCAGATATTCTGATATTCAAATGTTAGATATTTAGATATTCAGATGTTACGATCTTCAGTTCTTCTCACTCACTCTCATCTCCCCGACTCCCCTCCGCTTCCCCTAAATATCTAAATATCTAACATTTGAATATCAGAATATCTGAATGTCTGAACATCTAGATATTATGTAAATTGCAGATGTTCACAAATCAGATCCTACTGCAATGTCACCCCTAAAGATATTTTACTATCGTGACTAAATCCAAAAGGTTGACACATAAACCCTTTCACTATGTTAAAAACCAAAGAGTTTTGTGAGAAAAGTAGATGGATTTTATAAGTACCAAATCCCTTGAGTTTACTAAACATTATTTAGATCTTGACTCGATAAATACTAAACAACCAAAAGCATATTTCATTATTGCTGTTAAATCCCAAAGGTTTTTCAATTTAACTCCTAAACCATTTTGGTCACGAACTAAACAATGTTTACTAAACCCAAGGGATTTTTGGTACTTATAAAATCCGTCTACTTTTCTATCGATGAAGCAAAATCTTTTCCTGCTTGTTACTTTACCGCACATAAAGAAGGGAGGATTATTGTTAACTTCAATCTTCTCTTAACTCAATTTTTCTGGACGCAAAACTAAATAAGCTCACAAAAAAGAAATATTTGAGTCGATGTGTTTAATTGACTTTAAAATGAGAGAAATGAGCTCCGTTGTAATAAAACTATATTTTATTTATATAAATGAAATATTTGAGCTCGGAAATTAATTTATACTCTGAAAAGATACAAATGAGCTCGATTAATTTTATTTTTGTCGGTAAAAAGCGAGAGTCGAGCTCGGTAATTAATT